ATAGAGTATCTATTAAACTTTATTAACAAAAAGAAGTTTATTTCCACAGAATTTATGACACTTTGGAAAACCAAAACAAATTACAAAATTTAATAAAAGTAATGAATCTAAAATAGTTTATTGTGCGGTTCTACATGTTTTATTAAGGGAAAGGGGTTAAAAATGTTTTTAAATGATGTGAAATTGAATAAAAATTATCTTTGCTATTAATAATTTGATCTAAAAATATTTTTATTATTACTTGTGGTTGTTGATCATAAATACTCATTTTCCTAGTAAACACATTACTATTTTAAAAAAAAAAATACATTATTTTCCTAGTAAAATATTTTTTTAAAAGAACCTTTTTCTTAGTATTTTTTTTCTTGTAAAACCTCTTTAACTAATATAAAAGGGGAAAGTATGTTTTTTCTTCCTAATCTTTAAACTGATAATATAGGTCATATATATAAGATAATAATAATCTCATTATTACTTTTCATTTAGATAATGATTTTTAAAAATTCCTAATAAAATATAATTTTATAAGTTTTTTTCAAATTGAAATAGGACAAACATTTATTAATATATATTCCTTAATTTCAAAGTTTATATGAAAAAAGTGTCAAGAATAACTCCATCGGTGATATTTTAATAATTTTCTATATTTATGATGTCATGACTATTATATCTTAAAAAAGAGTCAAATATTACTTTCTATACCATATTCTGACCTTTGAATACATGTATCATTACTCGCCAGATACATGTATCCATTTGTTTTAAATTCCGAGATATATATTTCATTAATTTTGAATTAAATGTGTGTGAATGATATTCTTAATTAAAGGAGTAATTGAGTACTAATTAACAACTCTAACAGATTTATAGATTTCCTACCATATCAACTCTAACAAATCTTTCTAAACTAATGATATCATAAACCCAAAATAGTTCTCTAAACTTCATCTTCTTTTAAACTTCATCTTTTTCTCTGCAATCTTTTCTTTTTCTTGCGTTTATGAGTTTTTTTTTAAAACAATTTAGTCATGTATGATGTATCTTGAAAGCGTAATGTATAACTTTTTAAGAGTAATGGCATTGTATTTAAGTTTGATGATTTTGTTAGAATGTATCTTGATGTTTTTAAATGGTATCTCAAAAACATAATGTATCTGTCTAATTGTAATGATCTTAAATTTAAGAGTAAAATTTTTTTTAGCATGTAGCTGAGTTTTATAGAATGTATGTCAGAAACATAATGTATATCTTTTGAATAGTAATGATATTAAATGTAAGTGTAATTATTGTTATAGCATGTATCCTGATTTTCTTCATTATGTATCTCATAAACATAATATATATTTTTGCAAGAGTAATGATCTTAGATTTAAGAATAATGATTTTTATAGCATGTATTTTTTTTAAGTATGTATCTCAGAAATATAATGTAAAGAAGAGTCGGATCCTGCAATGACAAATTCATGAGTGAAAACAAAAATATAAAAGGTGTTTATTTTGGTATCTTGTTGTTAATGTGTTGTACCTTTATACATAATCATCCGATTTTGAGAATGGTCAGCCATGAAAGTAGTTTGAGAAACAATAAAATCAAACAATGTAGAACATAATTTGTAAACCTTTTTAAAATTGAAAATCCAAACAATATGAATTGTATCTTAGATACATGAAAAAGAAGAACTCTATCAGATACATGATAATAATGTAACAATAGTAACAAACTTCTACATATAATGTTGATTGCCAAGATTTAGTTTTGATAGTTGGAGATGAAAACGTGACGTGGGGGGTGAGAGTTATTGTTGGGTAAGGTGATTGGATTAGAGAAATTGTTGAAGAGAGAGAAAGAAATTGAATTGTTAATTGACCATTAATTTAGGTATTTGAATGTTAAGATAGTTAATCAATTCCATTTTTAAGGAATTTGTGTATTTAATTGTATCTTTTAACATATATGATATATATACGTAATCGTTTGAAACTAGAGGTAATGCTAGTATATATGATAGTAATGTATGTCTAGTTAGGTAGTAGTTTTGATTTTTAAGGAAAGTAACATAACACTACCAAACACAATATTTATGAGTGTAAATCTAACATATATTACCATTGCGAGTGTATAAAGTCAGATTGAATTGGATTTTAAAATATCAAATCGAATTAATTATTTTAGAATTTTAATTTAATTTATAAATCAATAAAAGACGTATTTTCAACCTTTGGATTTTTTTAGTGTTTTCAATTTCCCGGATTTTTTTCCTAAAGCACATTCGAAATAAACACTAACCTGAACATTTCTATACCAATTTCATACCAAGACTAACCATTGATTCATACAAAATTCATACCAAGAAGAGTATCAAATTCAAAATAAACACTAACCTGAGCATTTGAAATAAACACTAACATGAACATTTTTATACACATTTCATATCAAGACTAAACACTAATTCATACAGTAATTAAACCAAGAAGAATACCAAATTTAAACAAGTTAATTGTAAACATTCTTTAATTATAAACTAAAAGTATATCAATTCCATTGCAACGATAACATTATTATTATTTCATACACTGTCATTTATCAAGAAAACAGTATACTCAAATCATTTAAATATAATTCCAAAATCGCACACATACAAATGGTATAAACAGTATACTAATTACAAATAAATTTTATGTATTTTCTTTTTTTACCAAATACCTTAAATTAAAAAATATTCATACCAAAATTTATTCCAGTTTCAAAAAATTATTATGTAATCTAAACAAAAGAATGTTCATACAAAAAAGGGATAAGGGTCTGAAAAGTACCCCAACTTTGGTCAAATTTGTTGTTGCGATACTAAACTTTCATGATGACCTATTACCTCCCTAGACTATTTAATACCGTATTTGAAACATATATATTTGCCCACGTGGACATAAAAAATAATGCAAAATTATAAATAGTAATGTGTCCACGTGGGCACATATATACCTTTAAAATACACTATTAAATAGTTCAGGGGGTAAAAAATACGGTAATAAATAGTCTAGGGAGGTAATAGGTCCTCATGAAAGTTTAGTATCGCAACAGCAAATTCGACCAAAGTTGGGGTATTTTTCAGACCCTTATCCCTACAAAAAATATCACAATTTAAATCTATTATACACAAACAAAATCAAAAAAAATCCTTTACACTTTCATTGTTCTTATTTATTTTTTTACGTTTCAGTAATATAAGAATATATACAAATAATAAATCGCAACGAATACTAACCTGAAGGATCTCATCTACCACAATGTTTTATTAATATTGATAAGAAGCCGTCCATTACAACAAAATGGAGATTATTGAGCCAAAACTAATTGGAACTAGTCGTGAGTGACGACAATTACAGAAAAAAATTAGAGGAGAGAGAAACATTTGAACAATAGAAGAAAATGTGCTTTTTGAAATAGTTAAATTTGAAATACTTTTAACTGATTTGAGATAAAAAAAAAAAAAAAGGAAAACAAATATTTCTATTTTGTTTTGAATCTCCTAAATTTATGGCAATTATTAATTTTCATTAATGTATTCATTACTACAACTATATCCGTTTTTTACCTTTTATTATTTTTTAAAAATTGATTTTTACTATTATTTTAAAGCTTTTTAAAAAAAAAAATGTTAGAACCTAAAATATTTTATTGTTACAACTTGAAAGAATTATTATACTGTCATAACTTGAAATTATTAGTCATATCTATGTCGTTTATAAAATTTTCACGTCAAATATTTATTTAGTCCTAATAAGATATAATTAAGAAAATAACACCACCTGTTGAGTAATGACTAAAACATTCAACAACAAAAAAATGGTGCAGATGAAGAAGACTGAAAAAGCTTGATTATAAGTTTATAACAGTAAAATTCCAATAACTGATAAGGAAAAATTATGCGACAAAAGCAAACATTGATATTTATTTATGACAAACCACTATAGTTTAAAATATTTACAATTCATAATTATACGTAAAATTTTATAGCAAATTTCTTTCTTCTCTCCCTCTCTCACCCCCTCTCTCTCTCTCACTCTCATTCTCTCTCCCTCTCCACTGCCAATAAGAAGAAATACATTCAAATGTATTATGTATCAATTGTATTCAACCAAATATAGATGAAAGATTTGTATTTTATATTAATTGTATTTTTAAAACAATTTTTTGTATTTTGTATAAACTATATTTGTATTATGTATCAATAGTATTTGTGATTCATACGAAAACAATATGCATTCATCCTCTCCGTCAAAACTCAAATGTATTATGTATCAATTGTATCCAATCAAATATAGGTAAGAGATTTGTATTTCATATCAATTGTATTGAAAAAACTATGTTGTATTTTGTATCAAATGTATTTGTATTATGTATCAATTGTATTCGTGATTCAATGAATACATGTATTCATCCTCTTTCCTCCCTCTCTTGATCTTGCCGCCTCTCTCCTCTAATATGTATTTATTTTGATACAAATCAATTTATATTTGTATTTTTCTCCAAAACCCGCAAAAAAATACAACGAATACAAATATGTAGCAAACAAAAGTATAGCTGCAAACTGTAATTAGTGAAATTGTAGCTAATAAACAAAATACAAAAATAGTAACATTATAACCAGAGGTCTCAATTTTAAGTCCCGGGCATGGAGAAAAATCTTGTTGGAAGCATCACCCCTAGAATGGGCCCTACAGTGTGTGATCCAAATTTAGTGAGCTCAAATATGGGCGCGGACAGTAGGTGAGAAACCAAAAAGAAAAACAACAGTAAAATTCCAATAACATATAACAACTCAACAATGTAGAAATTGTGCAGTCCACTAGGCTGAGAAATGTGAAGTCATCCAGAAATAGGTAGCACAGACTCAACAGAGTGCTGTATTGGATCATCCCGAAGGAGAAATTATTCGTGATATACAGCTTGAAGGTTCTTGTATAACGTTATCAGCAAATGGTTGTCGAGCGTTACAATCAACAGGTTCAAGCACGGGATGGCTTGCATGAATTTTTCAATACAGTGTATGAGCAAAAGTTACTAGATTCCCGTGAACACGTAGGTAAAGCTTTGGATATGCTCAAGTACAATTAAGGGTTCAATGACATGTTTGAAATATCATCTAACCTGTTATTGCTAGTTGTCAAGTTTCATGTTCAATTAGCTACAGAACTCCATTTTCCGTCAAAGAGCTGCATAATTGTTTTACCCATGATCCACTCCGTGGCAGAAGAAGGTAAATGTCCTTGCTTAGCAAGATAAGAAACTGCTTCTCTTGCTTCTTTATACCCACATTCGGCAACAACGTAGGGGAAATCACTGCAGCAAGTACATAGGTTCAAAATTCAGAGATCACTAAAGAGCAGTTAAGCACTCAATTTAGAAGTTCTGAGGTTGTTTTAACGAGTAATAAACAATAAGAACGTCATTTATTACCTTCCCCACATGATACGATGTGCACCATAACTGGAGACTAGTTGGGGAAGAACTTGAGACAAGTCCTCATATGGATAAGGATTTCTCGACACTCTGAACAAAGCACTGAACTTTACATATACCTGCCAAAATTCAAATACTACCTCAGATATCAATCACTCAACGACGTTAAGCCAACTGTTGGCAACAACAATAGGGTAAGCAGGAAATAGTGTCGTAATTGCATTTCTAAGTCTGTTGTGAGTTCAGTTGAGCAAAGGGATTTGTCCAGAATATTTCAGAAAAATGTAAAAAATAGTCTAATAAATGCCAGCTCTTATTGTTTGGTAATATCTTAAAAACTGATAATTAAGCAGGACACAAGCTATAATAAAAAAGAAAGTTCAAGTGCCTTGAGCCCCAATTATAAAGGTTTAGAATCATGAGAACGTGTTAATTGGTTAGTTTTTGTTTACACGGATTTAGTTGTCTTCTACAGGATTCAAATTAGTTAACGTGCAGATGTTAGATATTGAACTAAGTGTAGATTAAAGAAATCAAGCATGATTTTCAGCAAATGTTACCTGTGGGAATCTTGAAAGCTTTAACAGCTCTGAGAAACCTCGTCTTTCGTCATCATTTCTACAGGACATTTAGATAAATCACCTAACATTATACTTTGTATTCTCGCCCATGAATGACAATTTAGAAGAAAACTGCAGTGATGGCTTACTTTGGGGGCTTACAGAAAGCCAGATGATCAAGCAAAACTACAGTCGAGGGAAATTCTGTGCACAGCTCCTCAATTTCTTGCAAATGCAAAAGCAGACCCTGAACGAATCCATCATAGTGTCTACCATTAACATCATTATTAATAGCGGAACAGGAAGTTCACGGAAAATCATTGAGTTAAATTACCATTCTCCCTAATTAAAAAGCTGGTAATAGTACCTAAAGTAAACAGCTTATACCACATTATTACATGAGTTCTAATATAATTCCAAATTAAAGAGTTGAATGCTAGTAACTAAAGTACCTTCATACACATGAAACCGACTGGCACTCCAAGCTCTCCAGCCTTTGAGAATAGTGCCTTCCCAATTTCATTTGTCATCTGATAATTACCAAATACAAGTTCACACACTTCACTGTCACATTATTCTTAGAATTTGAAGGCATAACTAAGTACAAGATTTATCAGATATGTATCTGCTTTTCTTCTACTTTCTGATCATAATGTGTCTCTTCTCATCCAGTTAGTTAACCATACAGGAAGGAATATAAGGTTAAAAGAAAACTTCATAGGTTCTTCCCACATAACAAATCTATAAAAGAGTTTAATGTGCCTCATATTCTGAAAATTTTCATATGCAAAAGCAAAGGCAAAATAAACTCTGAGATCAATATTGATGGAAAGAAGATTGATACCTTTTCACCAGAAGGCCAAAGATACGGATTAAAGCGAACAGCACGATAACCATCCTAGAATCAGCAGAAGTATCTTTTGTCAACATAATTTCTAAAGAATGAAAACACTATATCTAAAATAATGAGTTGTTACAAACCTTTAAAACCAGATCTTCAAGATGCTTTATCCCACTTCTATCTTCTGCTGGATTTGCGAGGCAACAACCGACGAATTTGGAAGGGAACTTCTTCAGCACACTGAATAGAAGTAATTATGCATAGGACAAGACCTCTCAAGTCAATATGACCGCTAACAACAAGAGATAATTAAAAAACTAGAAGACCGATGAATGCACAAACAAATACGTCTCCACATGCAGTTTAAGTGAAGGAGAAAATAAGAAGGTAAATAGCATTTGGTGCAACATCCTTGAAAGTTGAAAGACTTATGTACAGATGTTAGTTTGGGACTGCGTTTGCTATATAATATTAGTAAGGTATTGAAACACACATCTTAGTGAAGACAACTGACGAATCTCTTATTACATACATTACTTAAGGAACATGTGATTTGTTCACTGAAAGCTGGAAATCTAATTCTTACAACAACAGAAGAAAAAAAAAAGGAAGCTGCAAATTTAGTGAAGAGAGAAATGAAGAGACCTAGTAACATAAGAATGATCAAACTTATGATTAATGGGCTGAACAATAAGGGCTCCATCCACACCTGCTTCTTCCATACACTGCTCAAAACATAAACATATGAGTAGGTCTTAATGTTGGTACAATGAAAGCATTGTGATGATTAGTACTCAACGCTGACAACAGAAGAAGTGTGTTTGGTATGTCGGAAATATTTTTAATAGAGATGTTTTACTTGAGCAAATCATTTTCTAATGCTTAGTCAGGTAAGAAAATAGGTGAAACACCATTGATCATCAAAGGTGAGAATATGTGGATGTGTTTATGATGCTTCTGAGTATTAAAAGTTGACACCAATTTCTAAGTGTTCACTGAAGCAACTGAAAGGAAATAAACAATAGATATTTGTGAATGGAAACATTTGGAAGTCACTTATTGAAGTATTTTCCTTAAAGAATCATTTTAACAATTCAATATAACCAAACACTAGAAAATGATATCATCAAGGAAAATATTTTTCACCACACCAACCCATGTAGTTAATTTTTCCCATGGTAAAACATTTTTCTTGAAAAACATTTTCAAACAAGTTAACATAATCAAACACCAGAACATGTTTAATCACAAAAAACTATTAATTCTAAAGAACAACTTCAGTCATACCAAAAATACACAAAAAAAAGGCATCTATAAAACTATAACATCATCAGCTGATCAATTAAACATACAACAACAACAAACCTAGTGTAATCCCACAATGTGGAAGCCATGGGAGGATAGACTGTACGCAGATGTTACCCTTAGGAGGTTGTTTCCGACATACCCTCAGCTCAAAGAACAACAAGAGGCAGTAACAACAAGCAGAATCAACAGCAAGATAACAATCAATTAAACATCTTAATATATAAAAAAAAGTGAAGCCTTTACGAGGTACCTCAAGCAGGAAATCGACATGACCAGTCAAACTAGGTTCTTGACCAGGAAAATAGGGGTACTTTTCTGCAGCCTAACAAATTTCAAAGAAACACCCATAAATTCCTCATACTTTCAATTCAACATAATCTTGCTACTTCCCCACAACAACAACATACCCAATGTTATCTCATAAAAGGGGAATGGCGAGGATAGAGTACACACAAACTTTAATAAAGCATTTTCAAGCAATTTGAAAAAGGAATACAGAAATGAAAGCTATAACAATTTTGCCAATTCCCCACAACAACAACAAAAAAAAGTAGTATAAAATCTTGTGGGGTTTTGGAATTAGTGATATTTACCTCTTGTGGGGATGCCCAGACATGTAAATGTGAGTCAATGATTTGTGGCTCTACTTCACCAGCTGCTGCCATTTGACTCAATAAGGGTCCTAATCTTGAATGTTTTCTTGGAATAGATACAAAAGACCATGGGCAATTGAAGCTATTTAGAGAAGAGAGAAATGGAGTACATGTCAATGACTTTAGTGAGTTTATTCTCACTGCTGCTACCATTTCTGTTGTTGCTTCTGGTCCTCAATCCAAACGGAGGATCTGCATGTGAAAAGATTGCATCAATTATAGACGAGTTATGTAACGATATCGACAAAGCAGTAACAAGAAGGTGTCGTGGTGTAGTTGGTTATCACGTCAGTCTAACACACTGAAGGTCTCCGGTTCGAACCCGGGCGACGCCATTTTCTTTTTTCTTCTCCGTAATTGTAGATAATATATCTTAGTTTTTAATCAAATAAAATATGTAATATTAGTCCTTAAAGTGTATATTATGAGTTCATGCTTGTGGATTCCCTACCCAAAGGGGCGGACATAGGGACTCAGGCTAAGGCATTTTTTTTTCATTCTATCATGGCATATGTGGCTTTCGACTCTAGTTCTATCATTTGATATTAGATTTGATTAGACGTTTTTCCCTATGGAGGTTTTGTGTAAGGTTTCAATTTGAAGTTATATTTTTTTAATTTTTTCTTATCCCTCCCTAGGAGCTCCCACCCCTTTTGCTTTCTTGGTGATTAAAATAAGGAAAAAGACTCAAATATGTCATGAAACTTTTAGAAAAAGACATATTTATATCATTTGTTAAAAGTTTGGCTCATCTATGTCACTGTTGTTAAAGAAAAAGCTCATCAATGCCATTTTTTTAACTTCAATTTTGCAAAACTATTTTTTACGTCCCAAACAACTTTTAACACGAGTTTTTGGATCAAATATACTATTTTTGCTTCTTCTTCCTTAAGAACACCAACAACACATAAAAGAATATTAACAATTTTCAAATTTCAAACTTCTTCAAATCTTCACGAAATCACCTCAAATTTCAAAGATAGTTTTCCTCCGAGCTAGATATCAAAATTCAATATCTTTTGTGCTCGAATTCAACCTAACTCAACAAAACCAACTTGAAATTTCTTCAAAGTTTCAAAACTTCAACATTCTTTAATCATAAAACTTTCTCCACAACTTCAAATCATTTGAAATTTTAAACATAGACTCAAAAATGCTTTTTTGGATTTTTTTAAATACGATTGAGATGAGTTCCTGAAGAATTGAAGATGTTGAAAATTCGAGAGTTGTTTATGTTCTTCATGTGTTCTTAGTGTTCTTAAGGAAGAAGAAGCAAACATAGTACATTTGATCCAAAAACTCCAATTAAAAAGTGTTAAACGTTGTTTGGATGTAAAAAATGGTTTTGCAAAATCGATATTAAAAAAATGGCATGGATGAGCCTTTTCTTTAACAACAATGACATAGATGAACCTAACTTTTAACGGATGACATAAATGCGTCTTTTCTAATAGTTCGATGGCATATTTGAGCCCTTTCCTTTAAAGCAAATAGGACTCTAGGCTAGCGTTTGACCCCAGGTTTTCAAATATTCTTGGCAAATCATAATTGGTGAAGTTTCACCATGTGTTTGGCCTTAAATTTTTCCAAAAAATATGATTTATACCCATTAGTTTTAAAATTTATTAAAAATACCCATAAATTTATATTATTATTTTATAATGAATACATTCCGTTAAAAAATAACCTTATAATATAATTGATAACAATCAACAATAACAAGATAACAATATAGGCAAGACAATACATTAATCGCATACTCAAACTTGTCACTGATTCAGTTATAATTATAACTCATTAAACACAAATTATTCATTTTCTCAATTTTATCACTCAAATTAGAACTCACTTTTTTGGACGAGACAGTAACAAATGTTAGTTGGAATTAATAAATAATGGGTATTTTTTATAAAATATAAAAGTTTGGGGTAATTTTTGAATTTTTTAAAATTTCCAAATATGAAAACTTGGCCCAAATAGTAGTTTTTTCTAGTATTTGGGAACTTTTAACACTTTTCAATTAGAGTTTTTGTTTCAAATATACTATTTTTGCTTCTTCTTCCTTAAGAACACCAACAACACATAAAAGAATATTAACAATTTTCAAATTTCAAACTTCTTCAAATCTTCACAAAATCACCTCAAATTTCAAAGATAGTTTTCCTCCGAGCTAGATACGAAAATTCAATAGCTTTTGAGCTCGAATTCAACCTAACTCAACAATGCCCACTTGAAATTTCTTCAAAGTTTCAAAACTTCAACATTCTTTAATTATAAAATTTTCTCCACAACTTCAAATCATTTAAAATTTTAAACGTAGACTCAAAAACACTTTTTTGGATTTTTTAAAATACGGTTGAGATGAGTTCCTGAAGAATTGAAGATGTTGAAAATTCGAGAGTTATTTATGTTCTTCATGTGTTCTTAGTGTTCTTAAGGAAGAAGAAGCAAACAGAGTACATTTGATCCAAAAACTACAATTAAAAAGTGTTAAACGTTGTTTGGATGTAAAAAATGGTTTCCCAAAATCGGTATTAAAAAAATAGCATGGATGAGCCTTTTCTTTAACAACAATGACATAGATGAGCCAAACTTTTAACGAATGACATAAATGAGTCTTTTCTAATAGTTCGATGGCATATTTGATCTCTTTCCCTTAAAACAAATAGGACTCTAGGCTAGCGTTTGGCCCCCAAGTTTTCAAATATTATTGGCAAATCACAAATCATATTTGGGTGAAGTTCCATCATGTGTTTGACCCCAAAATTTTTCAAAAAATATGATTTATACCCATTAGTTTTAAAAATTATTAAAAGTACACATAAATTTATATTATTATTTTATAATGAATATGTTCCGTTAAAAAATAACCTTATAATATAATTGATAACAATAACAAAATAACAATAGAGGCAAGACAATACATTAATCGCATACTCAAATTTGTCACTGATTCAGTTATAATTATAACCCATTAAACACAAATTATTCTTTTTCTCAATTTTATCACTCAAAGTAGAACTCGCTTTTTCGGAAGAGACAGTAACATATGTTAGTTGGAATTAATAAATAATGGGTATTTTTTTATAAAATATAAAAGTTTGGGGGTAATTTTTAATTTTTTTAAAATTTCCAAATATGAGAACTTGGCCCAAATAGTAGTTTTTTTCTAGTATTTGGGAACTTGGGATACTTGCTAATATATTTGCCATAACCAAACACCACTTCCCAAGTTTTTCTCAAGTTTTCCCCAAATTTTCCCCAAGTTTTTCCAAGTATTCTTGGGGCCAAATGGGTCCTAGGTATAGTGTTGCGTCTGCACCGTATGCCCTTTTCTTTTTAGTACAAGTCTGACTTCGTATGACCTTTTCTTTTTAGTAAAAGTTGACTTAAAAATACAATTTTGAGCTTCCCTTGCCTACAAGAAAAAGAAAAAAATATTTTCATTTTATGTTATTATAATTTTTAAATATTTAATTCTATTAAGTTTTATCAATTGTGATATTCATTGAACCTACCAAAAACCAAGACAATTGTTACAAATTATAAAAGAAATCTAATTTTAATTATATAGAGTAATCGAAAAATTAATGTATAATACAACCCCTACCATGGTAAAAATTAGGTGATTTCCTAATTGTATAGTAACAACAACTTTTTTACCATTTGTAATGGATATGTTTACCTAATCGGCCTATACAAGATGGTTGAGGCTCGTCATCTCCGTCACACACCATCTTTGCCCCTCATTTTCACCAACCACACTCTCTCTCTCTATCTCTATCTCTATCTCTATTGCAGTTAACTCGCCGTACCGGAGAACTGAAATCGGCAACTATGGCAGCTACATTTGCTACAGTGGTGAGTTTCTTTAACCTCTCAATAATTTGCAGTTGAGCTTCGTTGTTCAGTTTTACCTTCTAATTTGTCGTAATAACACTAATTTTTGGAAATAGAGCGTTGTTGTTGTTGTCTTACGTTTCTCTGTTTTACAGTCGAATTTAGGCTCAATTTCAGTTCCACGAGTTGCGAACCCTACGTATGCTGCTTCTCCGAAGTTGCTGAAATCTTCATTCTCATCTTCAAGCTTATTTGGTGGTTCGTTGCGTCTGGAAACTTCATCGAACCGTTTGGTTCACAGAAAAACCGGCGGTTCATCAGGTTCTATTCAAGCCGCGGTGGAGGTCTGTGCCCGCTCGCTTGCTGAGCTAATTTATTACTGGTCGCTTTAATGTTTATGTGTTTCTTCGCTCTTCCCCCTAAAAGTTTGAAGATGGAGTCAATATGCCTAATGTTGAGTTAGGAAATATGTTTTCTAGGGTTTCTGTGTGGAATAACCTGTCTGTTTAAGTTCTAGACCTGAATGTAAGATGAATACATTGTCTGCAAATGGCATGTGTGGCTGAGTGTTACTAAGTCGTCTCATTTTATGTGATAATAATGGTCTGGTTTCTGATAGTATGATGTTAAATTTGGTGTATATATAGTATTTGTGCTACTAGAAGAAAATATGAACAATTTGTGGAAAAGAGTTTATATCAAAGGTTGGAACAAGGACTTTTAATACTTGCAACTTGTGAAATTGGTATTAAAATGAAGTGATGTCAAATATGACCCAAAATGAGAGGAGTGTCATATAATACAGTGTTTTCTTCTGTTTAGCAAAGTGAATTGTGGAAGTGGGTTATTAAGCCCTGGACCATGATTAAAATGGCTGTGGTTCAGTTTTCAGCAAACATGGTGTTATGTTGCCTTTTGTATGGGACTAATGTTCCATCATTCGTTCATTACTTAGTTGAAGTTTTTAATCGGTCTGAATGTATTATTGAAATCCAGGTGGCGGATGTGCAATCCAAAGTGACAAACAAAGTTTATTTTGATATTAGCATTGGGAATCCTGTTGGAAAACTTGCTGGACGAATTATAATTGGATTATATGGTGATGATGTGCCACAGACAGCTGAAAATTTCCGTGCACTCTGCACAGGTTCTTTAATAGATTTTATGTTATTATCATTATTGTCATCGATATTCTTATTACTAGTGCTGCTTTCGCTACTGCCTTTATCGTGGTTTATGCCCTCATTATCATTATTGCTATAATATTCTGCCTTATTGCTTGAGCTTCTTGCATAAATTACTTTCTATCATTT